TGACAAATTACACTATCGTAAGCTTGAATTTTTTCCTATTTGTGAAGAAGTGAATCTTGTTGCTTATTAATTATATCTATAAGAATCTATAAAGATCCATTTTGTATTCTACATGTCTCTTTTTAAGCTATATAGCTTAGACTACCTATCAATAAGGCCTTATAGAAGCTTTTTAAAGATTGTGTAATTTATGATTCAATTATCAAGTTATAAGTCACTTCTAATATAGCTTCTTAAAAATAAAAAAAATAAAAAAAATAAAAACTTGTAGAATAAGCTTTAATAGCTATATGGTATATTTATAGAAATCTAAAGATCTATTTTTATTTTTAAAAATTTATTAAACTTTCTCAAAGAAGAATTTATCTATCTAACATATACTATTTATTTTTATGTATTTATATTTAATAAAATAATATAGAAATTTATTAAACTAAATATCGTTTATGTAAACATAGTATATATTACTTAAGACATATAGATATTTAAACTTATTTTTTTACTTTCAAAAAATAATATATAATGATTATAATTTGAATATTTATTTATCATGTATATCTCAAATATTTAAATTATTTAAATAAAAAATAGATATAAAAATACTTTAAAATAGATTGAAAAGATATTATCTTTTTTAAAAAGAATATAAAAAAAATTATAAAAGAATTGAATTTATAGATGTCTTTTGATACACTATATATTAAAAATAGTTATCCTAAAAATTTCTTACTTTCACAAAATCACTAAAAAAATAATTTAAGACTTGAATACTTGGCTTAAAAACCTTTATAATCTTTATGAAGCTTCCACATAGTCTTCTTACTAGTTAATATATAGAAAGTGAAGGATAAAATCATCTTCACTCTTATCAATGTTTTTCTTATATTCTAGTCTTAGTTCAAGACTCTTTAGTCTTTTGTACTTAACTATAGTTTTTTGGCACTTTTACTATATTATATTTTTATTCTTTCTTGATTTTTTTTATTATTATTTGAACATAAATATATTTTTAATTAATAGATCTATCTAGATTTATATCTTTAATATCCAAACCATAAAATTTAATTCAAAATAAATTTTAAAAGAAAGATTGAAAAGAACTTAGATGTCATAATATAATATTTAATTAATTTCTTTTTAAAACTAATAAAAATATAATTTAATTATGATTTTTAAATTAATATAATTGTAATATAATTGTAATTTTTTATATAATAATATTTTTTATGTATTTCTAATAAAAATATATCATATATATTTTATAAATAATAATATACTTTTAAAATAATTAAAGAATTTACTTATATTATATTTAAGAAATAAAAATATTATTAAATTTTTCAATAAATCTATATTAAATTATTTTTAGATTTAATGAATTGAATATACACTAATAATTTTCTAATCTAATATAAATAACTTAATAATCTTTACTACTTGATATTATTTGTTTGTACAAATTCTATTTTATAGTGATGATTTAATATTTATATTATTTTTTATCTAGTATAATAATAATAATAATAATGGTTTATTAATCTATAAAGATTTATTGTATCCAAGCATCTAAGAACATGTAGCTAAGAATTTAAGACATATTTATCTTGATAGAATTTTTGAAAGCATGGCTTTTATTGAAATTTTTCTTTTAAAGTCATATATAATAACTAAAAGATGGAATAAATCAGCTACTAGTAGTCCTCACTAAAAGATTTCTAATAGATTATCAAAGATTGATTTTAGTCAATTGAAATCATGTAACAATTGTAGTATATGAGGAGAAAGAGAATAAACTCCTTATTTGTCAAGATCACAATAATTGTCTTTATTCTTGCAAGATTTAAATTTTAACATGCAAGAATGTATATTGTCTCATGAATACTCATCCTTATAAGTTTTACATACTCACAATCAAACCACACATGTATTAATACCTTTCACTTACTTGATTTCTAAATAGGCAAGACATTTTTAATAATTATTGGAAAAAAAAACTTATTATAACATTAAACTATGTAATGTAACCCATTTTAAATAGAAATACAAGTCAATAAATAATAATAATTTTGTGTTTTAAGAATTTTATTGATTAAAAGAGAAGAAGAAGAATTTTATTATAAAATAATTTGAATAAAAATATAATAGAAAATTACTTCAAAAACATAAATAAAAGTTAGAGAGGTAATAAAAGAAATTTAGTGTTAATATTATATTTTTATAAAAATGGCTTTTATTTATTTTATAAGACCATAAATAAGTCAAAGAAAAATAGGTCAGAAAAAATTAAATTATAGGCATCTTTAAGTAAAAGTAAAGAGTAGCTTTTAGTAAAAACTACCTAAAAAAACCTTAGGATGATACTTAAATAAGACTAATTATAAATTAAGGTTGAAACCAAATCTTAAGATATAGATCCATGCGCCTATAGAAAATGAAACCTTTTTTTGTTGATTGGAAAACAAGGTTGAAGAAAAAACTTCACAAGATTTTTTAAAGTGCTAGTTTTAAGGAATTTAAGTGGATAATGACTTTGTAAGAGCTTTGCAAAGTTAGGACTATTTTGGATGACTTTATTTTTATTAAATTATATGATTTTTATAAAAGATCTACTACTAAACAAATATTAATTTATGAACATGGTTGTCTTTAATATGTATTATGAAATTAAGGTCAATTGAATGGTTAAATTAAAAGTAATTTAAATTGAAGTGAGTTAAGCGCTTAGAATTTGGATTTTGAAAGTTAGTAAGAGTTTTTATAATTTTTTAATTGGATTATTTTTTTTGTATAAAAATAATTAACTTAATTTCTAATATTTATGAAAATTTTGTAAAATAAACAATCCAAATGAGAGCTATTTACATTCGAAGGTTGACATCAAGATTAAAGAAAGATGATAACCAACACTTAGGCATATTAAGAGCATATTTTTCCAATCTGTAAGTTTGATTTTTTGAAATTCGATGTAATTATTTTTAATAAATAAATTGAGAAGTATGAAGAATTTTAATTAAGATTATTAGCTAAACTAATTAATATAGAAATTTTAAATTTTTTTATTGAATTTACATAAGATTTAATTAGATATTTTTTTGGGATTTTCTTAAGGTTTGATTAAGATTTGATTAGGATCATAGGATCTTTTAGAATTTACTTATAATTTGATTAAAATGCTATTAATATTTTTTAGAATTTACTTAGTATTCTATTTGGATTTATTTAGGATTTGTTTAAGATTGATTAAGATTCAATGAAGGTTTTTTTAAAAGTTATTTTAAAATTTCTTTAAGATTTTTTTAGATTTAATTAGGATTATCAAGGATTCTTTAAGGTTTATTCAGAATTAATTAGAATACAATAAGATTTTTTTAGGATTTTTCTAAGATTGCAAAGAAATACTTAGTTTAATTAGAAGTTTATGTAGGTTGTTCATGATTACAAAGAAGATGTTTCTAAATACCTTTTGTGTTGATTTTGGGTTATAAATTCAACTTCAAGATAAGATTTGAAAACTTCCGTATCCAAATTCCTAATGCATTTTCAAGCTAATTTTTACCTAATATAATATTGACATTTTTGTAATATACTTCAATCAAATGCTTAACTATATCATTTGAGACCACTCATTAAAAATTAATCAATATATTTTATTTATTATTATATCTAAATATTCAACATCATCTACAAGAAATTATAGATATATAGCATATGATAGAGACCTTTTAATATTATGGACACTAAATATTATGTAGGTTTTGTAATACTAAAGAGCTTAATCTCAACGTAGAAAGATGTATGATATTGTAGTTGAATTCAATCTCCTTGATGTCTAAGTTTTTTAATAAGTTGGCACCTTTCTTCTTTTATTGGCACTCCCATCTTTGCTGCTTTACATGTTTGTTGCTAATGAATCCAATTTTTTAATTGCGTGTTCAATTAAGAGAAGCAAATGACACATTTTCTCTTTGCTAAAAGCTATGCTAGTTGCATATTCTTAAGCTTGTCTTAGTGCTTTAGTATAATATTCATAGTAGATTGTAAGAGAGCTTTCTAGAGCTAGAACTTATTTTTAGTCTATGTAGAAAGCTCTTTCTATTTGCATCTTAGATTCTCACCTTTAAAAAAAGAAAATCTACGTTAAAACCTTAATTAAGGATATAGATATTTTTATTGGAAGTTATTAAGCAAACCTGATAGAAATAGATATAAATTGGATTTAATAAATTTAAGAAATCTAACATAGGATATTTTAAGCAATAGACCATACATCTACCTTAAGAAATTTATGCCAAAATTTTAATATTTGTGAAGAGTGGAAGAAGTCAACATTCTTTACAAACTTGATTAGATTTATTATAAGATTTAATTGATTAATTTTCATTATGATAGATGATTGTTTGTGAGTTGACATACACATGCCTAAATGACAAAGTTTTAATTGCAACTATTGATATAATTAGGTTACTTCAAGTTGTTCTTGTTATTTTCATAAACAAAAGTGCAAACTAAGCAATGGTGGTAGTGGTTTGGACAAAAGATATCATTCACTACAATGCTATAATGACGTTGGACATTTATTTTAAAAACATGAACAAATGTATAATATCATGTATAATATCATGTATATTCAATCTGCAAACTTCAAATATATATTAAAAAGAGTATTAGTAATTCAATTTACACATAGTTCTTTTTATCGACTAATCAATAAAATTCGTAAACACTCTTTGGTCAAATAATCTTAAAAATTATGATTATTTTTATCGTATTCTTAAAAATTAATAAAATTAATTTTGAATTCATTTTTAAGCATGGTGCTCCTGGATCCAGTTTATATTTGCGATCAGGCCTGCGATTGAAACATGGTGGATGGATCGCCTGGGTGACTAGGATCTGAGCTGGCACTACAGAACACCCCAACAAAAGCCTAGGTGGAACTCCCGCCAAAACAGGGGAGGGAGGTGGCACGAACTGAGACAAATCAAACCATTTCTCACCTCGTCGATATTTTAGGGTTTGAAGAAGCTCCTCGCTGAATACTCTCGGTGCTTTCCGACCATTGCCCTTTCGACTTGCAGGCTTCGGTTTGATCATTGTGAATCGGTACAGTGCTGCAGCCCATCGACGCCAGACAAAAGTGACTGTAAGAGTTGAGAGGATTTGGTCGTGAGTCGCACTGCGTGCGGAAGCTTATGACGCTGTGCGGGGGTGTTTAGGGTGGTGAGTGTGAGCTTGCCAGGGTTGTAGTTGGTGGATTTGAAAGGGTTGGCAACAATGGCGGGACGGGATACGGACATGCGGAGCTGGGCGGACCTGTTGCATAATTCGTCGCAGCTTCTGCATTCCTACACCCCTTCTGCTCCGCTCCCGCCCATCCAGGTACATTTCCTATCGACAGTTTCACTTTTGTTTTACGTTCTTTGGCGCGCACATGTTAGTATTCTGTGTTTCCTCTCAAATGCTCGTGTGAGTTTGAAAATGTATATGAGTTTGGAACTGTGAAAAGGACCTCTCACCAGTCTCATTAGATTTACTCTTATTATTTCTTGGTGGATTGCGTCATTGGATTGAGCTTCCAGATAATGCTTTAAGATAATCATTTCATGCTGGATCTATGGATTTGATTTGAAGTAGGATTTTTGCTTTGAAAGTGCGTGGAGGACATGTATTTTCTTCAGTGCAAGCAGTCATCCGCACTCATTATGTTATTGTTGCGTGGTCTAGAGGAGCTTGGAACAATTAGAGACGTTGTCTCGACAATTGAAAGCTCGCACTTCCCGTTACGAGGCTCCAAACGAGGCAATCGCTGCAACTAGGTACGTTTAAGTTTTATATGCATGATCGTATTTGGAGTACTTGCACTTCTTGAACCGGTATCCAGGGTGTCCCTCCTTGAAAGCGATAATTTAATCATCGAATGGATATATCCTTGTAGAGTAGCCCGGATGTGTTCCTACAATTTATCGCCAAGATTTAAAGAGTGAGAATCACAAGTCGGTTAATTGCCAAAAGCTTTTCAACAAACTCTCTTTCACATACTTCGAACCCAACCATACGTCGGCACATATCTACGCGCACCTGCTATGAATTTAGTCCTTTGAAGTATGTTACATTAGAAGTTTTTGTTCAAAGTCCTTGATTGAGATTAGAGCATGAAAACTGCAATTTGAAATCTGCAGAGAATCTTCAGGTACCCAGATTCAGTTACATATTGAGTTCCTGTTTAAACTTGTTCACAATGCCTGGCTGTCGTACGCGTGAAGCAGAGCAGAACGTGTTCACACACACGCACATATATATATATATATATATATATATATATATATATATATATATATATATATATATATATATATATATATATATATATCTGAAACTTAAATTGCTCGAGAATCTGTCACAATGTCGTCATTCTCGTGTTTTGATAGACGCTTTGGAAGGAACTCGCATCAGATGTAATTTTTACGAACATGCTACATGAAGAGATGTTTTCCTTACCTCAGGTTGTGCCAATAACTTAACGTCTGTTTTGTTGAAAAGCCACCTATTTTATGGTACTAAAGACCCACCTGGTAACCATTGCAGATTGCTTGCTCGAGAAGGTATCAGCGCCGATCAACTAACGCGAGATTTGAAATCATTTGAACTCAAGGTTTGATTTATCAGTACCGAAATGATTGCATACCTGTGTAGGATTGAATCAATTGACTGTTTGTCTAGTATTGAGGGCTTTGAACTGTCGGATTTTTGGCGATTTGTGGGATATGTGATGAAAGAGTACCATAATGTGGCGACGAAGTAAAATGATCAGGAACGTACTTGCCTTTCTATGGTCTTTATATAATACGCCTGGCTCAATGCCTGTCCACCTTTCTTCGACCTTAAGCAGTTTTTATTTTATTTTATTTTATTTTGTCTTATTTATCGATTATCCTTTCGGTGAGCGAACTTCATAAACGATTTTAGCGCATTCTTGTGATTCTGCTTGTATTTATATGCAGACTTCCTTTGAGGATGTATTTCCCGTGGAGGCTACAAGTGTGGAGGAGTACTTGCAGCAGGTATTTAACCTTCTTGATTTCTCTTCATCATTTAGGTTCTCCTTTTCATGTTTGCCTTCGACTGGAATCACCGTTTTCTGGAATACATAGACATTTCAGAAAACAAGTCACTGTACTTCTTATCGTTTGATAAATACTGATGCGTTTATGCTCGTGGGCGTGCTGAGTTTCACCTATCTGCTACGTACAGGCAATTGTTGCTTTTGATCTGTCAGTTAAGTTATAAAAATTTAATATATCAAGTGTTTATCACTACGAGTAATGTCGTTGGTGTTGAGGCTTACTTGCTCTGGACACCACTCAGCAATGAAATTTACTGGCTCTTGCACATATCATTTCGTCCTGGATTGAAGTTGGATGGTACTAAAGTCCAAGCTCTTTTTTCTTTATTGAGGAGAGTAGGTACATGAAATGGCCATGGTGTCAGCAATTCAAGAAGCTCAGCGGGACAATCTCCGCAGCTTTGATTCTTACATGTTGAAGGTGCTGGAGGTGAGTTGATGATACCACTATGTAAGATTTTTTTTTTTTATCCATGCTTTATTTTATTTGATCGGGAATGTGGGCTCATCTGCTTCTTGCTTAACTTGCGTTTCTAATGTGATGCTCTTTTTGATTCATTTACACGCACTTTCATTTTGAACTTGCAATCATGAGATATAGTTGCTAGATTAGCTGTCCTTCGGCATTTTTGAATTAAACACCGATGCTTGTGAAACAGGATGACTGGATGAAAGAAAAACGAGAGTTCTTAAACAACTTAAGCCGATTACCACAGGCTCCATCAAATGTAGGTCAATCAGCAATTACAAATGCCATCCAGCCTTATCAAGGCTCTACTGCAATTACTCCGAGAAGGCTGCAGGACACTCCGCGTGGACAGGAAAATGTGTCAGCACAACAAAATGTTGTTTCAAAAAAAGCTGCAGCCTATGCAAATGTTGTAATGAGACTCAATGAAGCAAGAGAGCGTAGTTTGCCTTTTAAGGTACTCCAAGATTGCTGTTACGGACCCTAGAATGAATTCTTTCCTGTCGATTGTAGTCTGTCATACTTCGAGCTAAGTGTGCCAAGCATATAAGCGAACGCTACTTTTCTGGAAGGCATTGTTCAAACTGTTTGATCAGTTAGGTCAATACTATGACTTTGGTGATTGATTGGACCGTGATAGTTTACGTTTACTTCTTTACCGACATAAGTAACATGTGCTCGAGTAATGTATGATGAATCTGCTCGCATTCTTTTGTTTTGTGGGTAATTCTTAAGAGTATGAAAGTAGGAAATTCGTCTGCAATTAGAAGTTCTACGAGTGTTCCTATGACCTAGCGTAGTACGTATCATTTGCATGCTGAAGTACAGTTCTGAGTTTTGAATAACATTCAGAACTTTATCATTTGCTGTATATAAAGTGGTCTGAGAGGGTTGGTAATCAACTTAAGTACCATATTACCACCAAGTTACATCTGTTTTTAATTGTGGTTTTCATCTGCTAGGTTCTTAATGGGCAGTTTCATTTTTGTCTATTTGGATTCAGGTTGCAACTACAATGAAATCAGCATATGAGAGCACAGCATGGGAGACTACAACATCTAAGTCTGTGACCTTGACAAAGATATGGCACCTAATGCAGGTACTTTTATTTATACACTAGGGCTGGAAGTCATAATGGGATATTTTAGTCTTTAGTTTCCTTTTTGCCTGTCATCAGATCTTGTTTAAGACATAAGTTCAGTAAAATTTACGCTGTATTTCGTACTATCTTCTTTACTTATGTGCGGTCACGGATGGCGTTCTATCAATGGCTGCTGACACTCATCTTATTTCGTTTTGATTCCAGTCTATTTTGAGTGAAGACATTGATATGCCATCCAATGTTAGCAAAAAAGCTTGCATGGTAGCTGGCTCTAGAAGACACTTGGAAGCTGGTCATGAGAAGTACATACTAGACACTATCCACAACCACCCTGCCCAGGTACCTTCTCTTCTGTGGTTTGTGTAATGTATGCATTAGCTTGTGTCTTAGGGATTTTAGGCATACTGTACATTCTGTAATGTTTTCTGCACTTTATACTTGAAATTTTGATGGTCTACTGTATGGATTAACGAGTTATGCAGTGTTGTTTTTATTATTTTCTACGTTGGAAGCATTCATCACAGCAGAATGTTAACTAGGCCATTGAGTCTTGATGCTTTATTCGTTCCTTAGGACCTCTGGTGTTACTACCTTGCATATGTTTTATGTGTTGCTAGGAGATTTGTGAGACCTCAAATTTCAGTATTTCTCAGTTTGGTTATATAGATCATTTAGGGTTTTCCAAAGTCGTTGCATGTGCATTCCAAGCTTTTTAGATGACTGTTAAGTGTATTCGTTGATACTATTCCAGAGTCGTTATTGTGTGAAAGCTTTTGGTCCAAATTTTTCTTGAACTTTTTCTGTAGTATCAACATAATGAAATCGGAAGTTCCTGTAACAGGCAGCATTGGGGGGCTCAACTGGGAACTTGCAGCGCGTTAGGGCTTTTCTTCGTGTAAGTCGACCTCCCGTAATTTTGTTGCGTAATCGTATTGTTGCATTTTCGTTTCGAGGCCGCATGAGGTGGAGAGCTAGGAATGTTTATCTCGTAACGTTACAAATTGCGTTCAAAGTGAACGCAGCACCTAAACATTCGGCTGCGAACAATCTTACAATTTTTGGGTTGTGGTCTGGAAATCGAATGATCTCACAGGTACGCTTGCAAGATCAGGGATCTGTATTGGACTTTGATGCCTCAGATCTGCAAAGACAGCCTCCTCTGGACACTACATGGCATCAGGTAATTGTCAGATGTTACACCTGTGCAGTATGTACGTTACTTTCAGTTCGCACTGTCTACCGATAGCTTATATTTGCTGTTATTTTTTTCTTATTTAAAAATTACACTGCATTTTACAAAGTTAGTAACTGATATGATTGATTATGTAACCTCGTTTTAAGATGCAACCGTAATATCTCTACTCTTATCTTCTACACGTCTTTCTGTATCTAGATGTTCCGTAGCTCAGTCTCCAGGATTATATTTAGTTCAGAGAGGAGGTTCTATTCAGCACCAAATTTGCATGAATTAAATGGTTGGGAATTTCTTTAACGTGTTAAACTTCATCTGTAGTATTCTTTCCACTTGTGCAGATCTACTATTGTTTAAGATCAGGTTACTATGATGAAGCCTTATTGGTAGCCCAGCAGTCCAGGCTGAGCCGCACATTTGCTCCACAGGTACATGTTTAGACATTCGTCAGACACTGAATTCGTTGTTGGTTGTATTCATGGGTCTTCACACACCTAATTAAATATCAGTCTAATGTTCAGTGTGTTGATGCAGTTGTCAGAGTGGATTTCCAAGGGAGGTTCGGTTTCTCCAAATACAGCAGCTGCTATTTTGGAGGAGTGTGAGAGAATGGCTCGATCTGGGGATAGGGCAGGGAGAGGCGGATATGATAAGAAAAAAATGTTGTTATACACGATTGTTTGTGGGAACAGGCAGCAAGCCGATCATCTGCTTCGGGATATGCCATCCCTATTTAGCACCATCGAGGATTTTCTGTGGTTTCGTTTGGCCTTGATTGGAACGTCATCTGAATCGTCTTCTCAAGGACGGCCATCAGCTGATGGGTCAACCTCATATACACTTGAAGAACTCCAGGGTTATCTCACGAAGTTTCAACCCTCTCATTACACAAAGAATGGCAAGGATCCTTTGGTGTATCCTTATGTGCTCCTTCTGAGCCTACAGTTCCATGCAGCAGTTGTTTATATGATGAAAGAAGACAATCACGTTGACAGTATACACATTGCGATTACAGCTGCAGACTATGGTTGTTTTTCTGAAGGAAACAATGGGGTGAAGAAGCTAGGATCTATGGATGCTGCTTCCGAGGTAGCCAGTATTATCAGACACTATGCGTTGGCTTATGTTAGGCAGGGCAATATGCCTTTAGCATTAGAATACTACGCCCAGGCGGCAGCAACAGTTGGCGGAGGAGCGGTGGCGTGGAGTGGTCATGGCAACAGCGATCAGCAACGGCAACATCATCTGCTGCTTAAACAGCTCATGTCAGGTAACACTCCAACTTTGGTATCACTCCAACATTGAGACAGCGTTCGTTTATTTGTCGAATCGATCTCGTTGCATTTTGCCATCGATAGCTCAGCTATATCATTCTTAAGAAGTTGTATCAAGTATTACTTTTCACAATTCTAGGGTTCTTGCATATTTTACTTTCGCAGGGTGATCCTTGGTGGCAGTACTTTTTCCCTCATGCTGTTAGTTATTACGACAAAAGATCTGGCCTCTTCTGACGCTGTTTTAATCTACACTGCAGAACTTTTGCTTCGAGATGGTGGCATTCCGCTGCTGCTTGGTGGCAGAGGATCTGGTGCCGAGGGCTCTTTGCGACGTTTCATACCTGACCCGCAGAGCCAGCGCAATTTACTGATGGAGGCTGCTCGACAATGCCAGGAATCTGGCTTCCATGATAAGGTAGTATCCGTTTGCTGATCACTTTCAGACTTCCCTTAACAGAATTAGAGTTCCAGAAAAAAAATATATATAGAAAGAGAGAGAGAGATTTGTTGTCTGATCCCTTTGATTTGCTGGCAGGCCGTTGAGCTACTGAAGCGCATTGGAGAGTTTGCCACAGCCTTGGAGATTGTTAACCAGTGCTTATCTGATACAATTGCTGCTATGGCTAGTGGCCGTGGTGATGGTGACACCAAATCTTCAGGACTCATTCATGCTGGCAATGAAATACTTGAGGGGTTCAAAGTGGTTGGAGGTTCCAGGTCCAGATATGCCTAGTACTCTTGAATCTCATCTTGCCAAAGTTCCTCTTATCCTATGTATAAGGTCTTTTTTGGCGCTAGCAGTAAATTTTTTTTGTTATCGGTGTAGTATTATACTTGCATTCTACTCGGCCTCTACTTCTTGCTTAATCAACTCAGTCTAAAGTTTTCTGTTGTTCATGTCTGCAGTCTGCCAAATTCAGAACAAGTTGCAGCGCAACAGACTGCTTTTAGGCAGTTGGAGTCATTGCTTACATTTTACAGATTTACTCGAAGCGGGAGGTACAGTGATGCCTTAATGGAACTAGCCAAATTGAATTTCTTACCCCTTGGCACTCGGACTCCTGAGAGCAGCGCTGAAGCTTTGCGTTACACCTCACTCCATGTACAGGTAATACATCACAGCTCTAAAATCATCTCAGTTTGTAAATGCTTTCAGGTGGTCAAGTCATTACCGTTTCTAAATCCGCAGCGAAGTGATTGTACTAAATTTGGTGGAATGTTCTCGCTGAATGCATATTTTTATATAATTTCTGCCTCCCCATTTTTTCCACCAAAACCCAAATTGAACAAACATGTGCAGGCTTGCGTTCCTGATCTTCTTAGAGAAGCTCTCACCTGCTTGGACCAAGTAAATGATGCAGATGGAACTGTTCGGAGATTGAAGTCAAAGGTGCGTTTTGACCTCTTTATTGTGCTGCTGTCTTGATTGCGACTGAATGGTCCAGACATTGCGTCAAGAAGTGTCTTCGTAGTTCGGAACTGGTGAAGTTGGGCTATCCCAAAATTAGTTCTGGGCAGTGATGAAAACAGTATTTTGGACTGAGTGAGGCTACCAAGATTCTTTCCGATGGTCGTATTGCCTCTAGATCTCATGCTTTTAGGTTTTCACGATTGCTGTTGGCATTTAGTCTTATTGAAGGATGACCTGTGTTAGCAGATTGCAAACTTTATCGCAAATTCGTTGCCAAGAAATCTGCCTCAGGAGCTGTATGATCGAGTGGCACAAATCCTATGAGGTTTAGAGTGATGTCAATCACAGACGGCAATCTCCATCAGAGCACACCGGGGCTGCACAAGATGGCACCATGCGATTTTTCTTTTTAAGTCATACTGCAATTCTGAGTGCTTAGTATTCACCGGGTTTCTTTCTGTAATATATGCCCCAGCTAAACTGGACAAGATTGTTATGTCATGACAGTAAAATATGCTTCATCCGAGGTATATCCTCAGTTCGCTATAAATTCCGAAGGGAAGTAGAGTTTTTATCCTGAATTTGACGGATGTCACTGTGCGATCGAATAGATACCAACACCGGGATGTTTGCACGACATTTTTCTCTGCGCCAACATCAGAGAATGTTTATTAGGATTTCTATGTTAATTTGTTTTAAAGTATCTGAAAACTTTGCCCATTACGAAAACAGTATTTCTGACCAGTACGTGCCTCATCATTTGACTAAGGGGAATTACTCAGAAATGTTAAAAAGGGTCTCTTTCAAGTGAGCGGCATCTTACGGCTACTCTCGTCACGGTTTTCAAGCTCGACCAGGTCAATTATCAGTCCATGCTGGCACTTCGCTGTAGCTGCTGAAGCCGTCATCCCGCAGCACGTAAATCCTAAAGCTGTACACTGGAGCTTTCTACAAGAGGGATATCTCTTCACAGTCGACATGCCCCGCCATTTCACCTTCCGATTTCGTGAATGATAGTATCAAGGACCCAATTGACTCATCGTAGAGTAGGGCAGGGTGTCGAACATCAGACGCGATGGTCCTTAATGCTCACACCATGCACGTCACAATTCGTAGTTACGTTCTCCCACACAATGACTATCGAAGACTGGAGGCATCTTATCAAGTTACTGGACGTGCAGTGGACACATTTCCAGAACGAAAAGCACTAGGGCACTGGATCACTGCCAATGAAGGAAGAGGAACGTGAGGAGCTGCTCCTAACAACTGAAGTTGAAGAATTGCACAGATGAGAGCAACAGGTGACCTATTTGTTGCAGACTCGTGTCTAAAACGTGCATGTATACCTACTGTGAACAGCGTCCAAAGAAAAACATGTGTATGATCAATCTTCCACAGTGAGTAAAGCATTCTATTTCTTGAAGTCATCCTTCTCGTCTGCAGGAATGGCCTGATTTCTCCAGTATACGGCTGCAGCACTTCCGCCGAGCGCCATAGCCACCACACTCACGGTCGAGGAGTCGGCTACCAAGGGATTACTACAGGGTTTCTACGCAAACATGAACTCCAGAGCGGAGGATTTCATTCCACGTTCCATCGTGATAGTCTTGGAGGGCAATTCTCGGAACTCAAATACCTTCGACATCAAGTATCCAAGAATGAAACCGCCCACATGCAAGACGTAATTATGCTACTTGGTGCAGGTCATATATCCGCTTCTGCTAGCTCATGTACGAAAGTTATTTCGGGAGTGATGATTTTTCCTTGTCAAGATGACCTGTCTTGGTCCTTCATCCTTCTGTACAACATTGGGGTCCAGCCCATATTGTATTGACTGGACTGAACGTTACCAAGCAAATTGAGAGCTTTCGCATTCCGCATTTCGAAAAGGTGAAAGACGCGAAGCACCTGACAACTGGTACGTTATACTAGTTTTAACCAGTATTTGGCACCAGTGGTCATAAACTGTCAACTTCAAAGCAGTGCACAAATCTCCTCATCTTGAGAATAGACAGGTCGCCATATCGTCCATGCATGCGGGAAGTAGAACGGTGGTGCAATAGACAAACTTAAATGAAATTGTCCGGGCTGTTTTATGAAAATCCATGTCGAAACAAATTTGAAGAATCATTGTCGTGAGGGCAATCGTCCAATCACCAACTTCCTCTCTTGAAGAGTCATGATGCAATAATTCAATGCCCTAATCGCCACCGTCACTCCAATGCAAATAATCACTCACTAGCTATCCGTCTGATCCAGCCACTCCTACTTTATGTAAACGGACGCTAGGCACATTGAAACAATCAATCTAATGTACAGATTCCTTTCTTCCACTAGTTTTCTCTCAGTGAATGTATCAGATTCTTCCGTTGCACAGATCGTCGCAGACGACGATCCTTGTGTTAATTTGTTGGAGAAGATCGGCACCTTCGTCGGTCTCAATGAATAGGTCACTGTGCGCATATCATAAGGGCGACTAGCTACCTTCCTTGTTCGGACTCGAATGCAACCTCCATGATAGGCTCGGGGACGATGTCGCTTGATCCACACCTCATATGTTGCATTGCGTACATTTCTCGGGAATTTTGAGAGCTCGAGGGCCCTAACACACTCTGTCTGGCAACAGGTACTGGGTAATTGTCAGTGGTATCGATGATGGGAGTCCTGCTGCGGGGACCAGGGTTGCTACTTCGGAAGTAGCCTGATACAGAGGTGTGCTGTCGAAAGCTGCCGAAGAGGACGTCGTTCCATGAGTTGTGGGAAGAAGATCGAACTGCCAATGACTCGCCGAAGTTCTCCTCGCGGACCACCTTGTGGGGATTCTCGAGCGCCTTCAACACGTGCTTCATACTGGGTCGCTTTGAGGGTTTAGAGTTCAGACACGCCTTAGCAATGATGGCCATGGCCCAAACCTCCTCCATGAGATCTTCATCAACTATGAGAGATGGGTCAACCAGTTTGGGCAACCCTTCCTTGTCGTTAACATTGATTAAGGGAAGCGCCCACTCCAGCCATTGGTTGTTTGTAGAACCACTAATGCCGATTTTCCCGGACACGAGTTCAAGTAACACCTTGCCGAAGCAATAAACATCGTATGCACTGGACGCGATTCCATGACCTGCAGTAAAACAAATTCATTGCCTGTTAATATTGTACAGGATTCCCTTCACTAACTTTTTACACTCTACACAACCTTCTAGAGTGCACACATGGGATGAGCTGTAGCAGGAATGAAAGAGAACTTACTTGGATCAGCAGGGTCGTACGATGAACTGCAGTAACACAGACAAATAACATTGAGGACCACCCGTCAGTACAGTGCCAGCGTCGAGAATATGCTTGTTCAAGAAAACTGAAGCTTAAAATTAGCCACTACTCCTTGCACGGAGATAACATCTCCTAGTAAAGTCAACACAGCTAAGCCCTTTCGTCAGTTCTCCAGAGAAGTGACAGCTTCAACAGATAAGTATTTTGTGCCGATAGTTGCTCACCTTGAGAATCCGAACATACGGGATAGAATACTGGAGTGAGATTCCGAGTCCTGAGTTCTGGAGTCACTCAGACTTCCAATCCTGACTTCGTACTTGTCATCCAACAAAATGCTGCTTGCTCTTACATCTCTGAATAACATCACCACAAAACAAAGAAGGTTTAAGCTCCATCCTAATCTGCGTAGCTGCTCAACAATCAGCACGCGTATGATATGCCTAGTGTACTGAAATATGCGAATCCTCAAAGCTACTATGGCTTCTCTCGAGAGACACACATTCGATCACTTGGAGATCATTGATTGTAGTGTACGGACCTGTGAATTATAGGTGGACAGCACTCAGAATGCAGATACGATAACCCATCCGCAACGCCGATTGCAATTTTTAGACGTGTAATCCAGTCCAAAGATAGTAGCATATCCTCACAATGACCATGGTTGCTTCTTCTATGCAGCGACGTTGCCAGGTCGTTATTAGGGTAATACTTGTACACTAAAAATTTCTCCTCCTCGCGGTCGAGACATGTTCCTAGCAGCGAAGCCAGCCTGCAATGTGACACTTTATCGAAGATCTCTAGCTCCGACAAGTAGAGACTTTGCTTCACTTTCCGAAGATCTACTTTCTTCACGACAATGGCAGTGCCACTTATTTCTCCCTTGTAGAGCTCGCCGGAATGACCGACACAAATCAGGTTAGACAAAGAAAATCTGTTGGTGGCGCTCGAAAGCTGCGAGTAAGTGAATGTCTGGCCCCTACCGCCAGCAGATGACCCTCGCAAACTACCCATGGCACCGTCCCTGCAACGCCGCATTTGGCAGCGATGGAGGCAAAACACCATCAAACCCACAAACACTATCAGCCCCATTCCTCCAAAAACTCCAGCTAGCAGGGGAGTCAGCCGGTTGCCTGAGTGATCGTGTGGCAGCCCGGGAGTCTCCAAGGGTGATGCAACAAGCGAAGGCGGAGGAGGAGTGGCGTAAGAGTCGTCAATCGGAGGGGTGGCATTAAAGCTGAAATGTACTCCCATGGGAGCGTAGAACTTGGTGCAGGCGAAAAGCCGACGCTGCTTCTCCACTTGCGCTAAACAGTTCGTCCTCGTGACTGCTGACGGGAGGAAACCCGTTGGAACCGTGCCATTAAAATAATTCCCGGAAATATCCAAAACCGCGAGAGAGTGTTGAGACGCCACCTCTTGAGGCAGGGGGCCATAGAACATATTGTCGGAAATATTGAGCGTATTCAACATTGGCATTGTGAACAGCCCACGAGAGTACAGACCTTTAAAAAGATTGGAGGAGATGTCTAATACGACTAGGTTTTGCAACAGATTCATGGTGGAAGGGATGTCGCCGGTGAAGACGTTGTGATCCAGCTCCATAACGCTCAACTCTTTGATCCCTGTGATTTCCGCGGGCAATGAGCCCGAAAATTTGTTGTAAGAGAGCCTTATCACTGTCAAGTTGCTCAGCCGACCGAGCTCTGGCGGAAGTGGACCCTGTATATCGTTTCTTGACAGGTCCAGATAACTAAGAGCTGCCAAGTTTCCGAGCTCCACAGGAACACCCATATTGAGCATGTTTCCGGCCAAGTTAAGAAACTGTAAACTAGGAAGATTGAACAACAGAGGCGAAATGCCACCGGTGAGCTGATTACTTGAAAGGTCGATAGTTGACAAATAAGCGGAGCTCAGAAAAGGAATCGGACCCGAGAAGGCGTTCGAGGAAAGATTCAAGAAACTTAGGTTAATGAGGTTACCAAACGACTGCGGCAAGGGCCCACTTAGGCTGTTCTGTGCGAGAGTAAGACTTCCGAGGCGGACCAGGATACCAAAGTTGAGGGGAAGGGGACCTGAGAGTGAGCACTCGGAAAGATCTAGCGACTCCAAGCTCGTCAGGTTGCTGAACCACTCTGGAATCCCGCCTTCGAATGTGACCTGGGAAGCATTGAAAACACGAAGCATTTGGAGCTGCTGCAACGCCCACACATCTTGTAGAACCGGGGGCTTCGACTTTGGCGAATAACGCGGCAATCCTGTTAACAATATAGAATCAACATGACCATTCACGCACTGAACGCCTCGCCAGTACCAGCACGGATCCTCCTGCGGCTGCCATGCACTGTCCTCTACCCGCAGCTGCTCTCGCAACGTCAGCATTGCCACATTCTCACTCACTGACAGCGTCGTGGGTCCTTCGGCTACTGCGTCCACCGATGCGCAGTATAGCACTGCAGCGATTAAGATGCAATGCAACGCGATCGGTCTCGAGGCCCATACCGCCCAGACTCTCAGCCCCATTCTCCTCCAATCACACCTCACGCATTCTGTCTGTTTCCCAATACCTGTTTGGGTCCTTACCCCTCGGTCCTTCCCCTTCCTCCGATATCCCACCGTGCAAGACCTCACGAAAGCCAGCCCAGACTATATCCCCGTCCTACGGATCGACTGACTACACGATGATCCAGTTTGCACCTGAAAACCCCCAACCCTACCCTTCCTGTCCCAAACAGCAGTGCATTCGTCTCACACCTGTACCCTGATCAAATCATTCACACTACCACGAAGAAGCACCGCTCCACACATCGACACGATCACAGCATGGACTCCCCCGCGTCTCCGGGTGCGACGCCATGTACTGGAAACTGTTGTTGCTCATACGTACCTACATTGCCTCACTCTCCGAGCAACAACCACCCGATCGATTGCTGCAATGCAGGCAGCTGGTTGTAACGCTGCCCCTGTCTGAAACTATCGCTACATCTGGCCACCAGCTCCACCTCAGGTACGGCGGGTGGAAGGCGCGAGATTTGGGGAGGGAAGCCAAGGCAGAGCAAGGAGGTGCACACCAGCAGCAGCAGCGCTGGAGCAAAACCAACCTGCTCCGAAAGAGCGAGAGGCGTCGAGACCGGGAGGGGGGGGGACAGACCCAGTTGGAATGGGGACAGGGTCGGGTAACCGCAAGTCGGGCTCCGGGGAGTGTGTGGACGTGGGGGGGGGGGGGCATCCACGCTGGTGGAGCTAAAGTCGGCAGCGGATTCGCGCTGCAGTGAAAATCGCTCCTCGCGCGTCGCCTGGCATATCGCTCGTCCACCTCCGCCACTGGATAGCTAGCTCTTAGCAAGCCACGGCTTTGCTAAGAGCAATCGGATGAATGCCGGGGCCACGACCAGGCGAAGAAGCCAGGCAGCGAGCGGATGGATATGACCTTCACTGCATTTGCTGCTACGCCAGGAGCAGCAGCGGCAGCAGCAGGTCAGAGGGAGCTTCGCTCGATACGTGTGCATCATACGATGAGGGCTCGGCTCTTATTTTTGGACGTTCCCAGATATGGACTTTGCTATTGCGATTGCTCGGGATTCAAATTGTAGACCCACTTTTCCTCTATATTTAAACCTCCTTCTCAGGCTTGTGTTTTCAACGCCAGGCCAGGTGTGCTCCCTCCTCGTCCTTAACATTGTCGCCTGTTTTGAGCCTTCATTTTGAGGTTTTCGGATTGCTCACTTGTTCCTCACTAGAGAAGAAAAGTGCCTATTCTGTGCGTATGTGTTTTGTATATATGTGTTATAAGTTTGTGTGTTTATGTATGTATGTATATACTCGCATAGTCGGAATGGATTGGGTAAACTCTGGTGTTGGTTGTGAGTTTGTTCTCACCAAGGTTGTCGATGTGTGGATTTTGTTTCTTACAACAACAAAAAAATATATAAATAAAAATAAAATAAAAAACAACAACAACCATCCTGTTGTCTCCCAATCCATTACGCTGTCAGCCATTTCCTTGGAATATGTACACCCAAGTAATGAATATTCATACAGGAGCACATGTGCGTGTATTTCATTTTCTATTCGAAGCGAATTTTTCGTTTATTTCCTAGCTGCACACAAAAAAAGGTTGCGGCATTTACACAAATTTTACTTATTATTGATACTATCATTGTTATTATTTACTCATAGCATTAGCACATACCATTTAGCATCCATCGAGTCTGTTATTAGCGGGTGAACATGGAGGTGTTATGAATTCTGTCACAAACCTCATGCAATGTACTATGTTGAGATTTTTTATTTCTTCTACATGTCAACACTCTTCTTACACAAACATTTTTTAGGTTCACTTGGCTTTGGAGATATGTAAATACATAGAGGTATTCCACCTAGAATAGTTCATGTTTATGAAGATAGAAATACTTGGTTTTTGCACACATTTATCATGATAATATATACATATTATGCAAGAGTGTTTACTTGTATTCTTTTTTCAAATTGATTTTTTGAACTTGTGGAATCTAAAACCAACACTTTAGATTAAGTTTGACAGAACTAAAAATTTATTAATTAAGGTATAGAATTGTTATGAAGTACTAAACATCTGATTCATAATGTACACAAAATTCAATGTGTGAGTTTTTTGATTTTGTATCGAATGCAACAAGGAGAAATTTCATTCTTGATTTCTTAGAAGAATTTTTTTTGCAAACTATGATAATTAAAAAAATAATTAGCTTGGTCTATTCAGAAAATGAAATTTGAAAACTGATATTGAAAATAAAATACATATGTATTATAGAAAAGTTCAAACAATAGTCCATGACATAGGTGTTATTCTCAGTAACAAATGAAGTGAAGTTTAGAGGCCTTGTTGTTTTAGTAACAGTAAAAAATTTTAAATAATTACTTAAGTGAAAAAAGCATCACCTAAAAAATAAATTGGAGTTGTGACTATGTCATATTTTATTTCTTTCTCATCCGTGTTTCTTATTTATTTGAAAATCAATCCACTTGCAACTGATATCTCCTAAAAAATAAATTGCATCTTTTGGAGGAGGATGAAACCAACTTGAATAAGCTTATCCCAAATTAATATCTACAGTGTGCAATTAATTCACATGCTGTACATGTTCAAAACATGAAATTGTCATATTAATAATAATAAATAGAGAAAAAGTTCACTGAAACAATGGGTTGTGCAATGACATGTTTGGTAATTTTCAATTTTATATGCTTGCTTGCATGTAGAATCTATTGAATAAGTGTTAAACACATTCTTTCAACATTTTTTTTGTTGAGTAATTATAATATTACAAGCAATCAGTTGTGCTCTAAAATATTCATAAGAATCAATTATAGAGATTCAACTCACAATGTTCAATTGAACAATTACACAAGACAATTTTAAATTTTAATTAGCACAGCTTTTTCACAAACAGTAAATATTCCAGAGTTAAAAGAAACAAGTTAGATGTGTGTGTGTGTGTGTTTGTATATATATATATATATATATAAGCATATTCAAGAATTGCAGTTTGGATCAATATTTGAAAAAACTCAATCTATCACCAAAAAAATATTGATTTGGAAGTTTGTAGTGACATGTATTAACTACATACAGTGTATTCAAAATAAAGTACATTAATATATATTTAGAACAGGTGTATTGCAATATTTTCTTTTAAAGATGGAAACAGAACAGATTGGATATTTTTAAACACAATAAGATTTAAGAATTGCAAAAATAAAAATAAAACATAAAACATAAAATATAAAACATAAAAAAACATAAATTTATAAAAATAAATCAAAAAATAAATAAATAAACAAAAACAAAATTGCACAATGAAAAATATTAATGACACTAGCAATTGTTTTGATTGGTTATTTATTTGTTTGAATTGAGATTGCAATTTTTCTTGGAGATCATTTTGAACACTCCAAACAATAAGTAGCAATATACCCAAAAATAATAATTTATGTCTACATCCTTCTGATCCAGTCATTTTTAATTTTATTTGTTTATCATCATGATGGAACCCAATCCAATTGATTCTAATCCAAGATTATTGTTTATATATATATATATATATATATATGTGTGTGTGTGTGTGTATGTATGTACATATGTATGTATATATATAAAGAGAGAGAGAGAGAATAATGGAAAAAGATACTTCATCAAATAAACAAATCAGCTATTATATACCACAAAGTATTTTAAAAAATGGATTCTAGAAGCTTTTAAACATTAGTTAGAAAATAAACAGTGGTTGAATGGTGTAATTTAAATGAACATGTAGTGACAAGCACGAGAATGCTACCTAGAGTGAAATAATATATATATTGAAGAGCCACATAAAGCTCAAATCGTTTACAAATATGTATATATATATATATATATATATATAAATATATGACCATCCCATTCTTCACAACCAATCCCCCTATCAATAACCTCCATCTCCGAAAGAAGAAATCTTGTGTGTCTAGAAACAGAGTTTGGTGTCATGAGATCAAATTATATGGCATCCACTCCGTCGATGATTGTGGTTGTCATTTAGTAAAGGCAGGTTAGCCAACTCATTCATTCATACGCCAGAATTAGGGCAGTCGTATTGAATGCGGGAGCATGGGTTCTGCTCACCTCGGGTTTAAATATAAGCCCCCGAGGAGGGACGGGGACGATCGAGTCGGCGACATTCCCGCAGGAGAGAGGCACAAATCCGGCACACACGAGGTCAACTGGATCTTCACCAATCCAGTTCTCGACACATCACGGAGTAGACCGCGCATGGTGTGGAGGGAGCCCCGAGCCGATCGATGAATGCATTGCGGTCAACCAACCAGGCTCCTGGTTTTAGAATTATAGATGTTGACTATCCGTTAATCATGTTTCTCTCGTTCTCTCTCGTTCACTCCGTGTGTATACACAAGTGGGAGACGCTGGAGAGCAACAGTGAGATTCCTTGGCCGCGAGTTTTACGAGAGGGAAGTGTAGTGTAGAGGAAAAGAGAGGAGAGGAGAGGAGAGGAGAGGAGAGGGGGGAGATGTTCAGAAGATGGCGTTTGGGTTCTGGCTTTTGGCAGTGCTTTTGATGGCTGGGGCTGTAGTGCACCATAGTCTTCCGGTGTGCATTGAGCTGCTGTTGACAGCTAGCGTTTCCAAAAGTACAGAGTGTGTTCCCGAGTTTTCGCCTTAGGATTCGGAGATGGTGGCATGCGAAGTGTTGTCGGACTTGGAACGTCATTGAGTCAGGAAACTTCCTCGGATTTCAAACGACCCGCTGGTGTGATTCTTTCTTGTCAGCCTTGGTGTTACTGCTTGCTACTGAGCTCGTGATGACCAACCTCTTGGTAGGACTATTATCCGCATCTGGTTCCTTTCTTCATGTTTCAACCAAGTGATGGTGTCCCTCACACTCGAGCCAGAAGGTGAGTTTCTTTCTCCTACTGAAGCGTGAGATCGAGACGAAATTCCTTAAAATCTGCGTCTCCTGTCATGCAATGCATGCGAATCGCTTTGTGCCTTTATGCAAGTTTGTAGCGGAGCTGCGGGAAAAAACCCTTAACTCCCACCTTGATTCAACTTCGGTTGGGTGTACATTCTACTCCGATCCTTCTTCAGATCCAACCACTCAAGCCAATGCCACTTCTCTCTGCTTCTGAAATAAATTTGCTGCAACTGTATGGAAACTCGATACGGGTGGCGCAGCAGGGTTCCAAACCCAATCTGCGTAAGATCGTTGCTCCTACGCTGACGTGATTCAGTTGAGCTCCGGAGTGATAGATGCCATGCTCATGACTGCCACTAGCAGACCAGCCAAGGGGCTCCGCGTTATTATTATTATTATTATTATTGTCGCATCATTGAGCAGTTTATTGGACCATCAGTGACAACCAACCCTGGCCGCGAGCCCTTGACGACAAACAGTGCGGTTCACTCCTGGCGACGCAACACTCCAGATTCAACCTCAGTGCAGACTCAAAAACACATGCTTGTATGAACACTTCGAGGTAACCCATGAATCTTCAGCAAGGCTCAGATGGATTGCAGAAATAAGCAACAGTGTGTGTGAGAGGAGCTCAGATGCTCGGCGGAGCTCCCCCTCTTCCATGAGTCGGAGCAGCGGCAGTCGCTCACACTCTTCCCACCTCCCACCACCGATCCGGATTGAGACTTCAACGAATGGCTC